CGCATAGTTTGGACGAATTTTGCATGTGTGGGGCTGGCTGGACTACTGTCCAGAGCCATGAAGGGAGACAGTTCCTAGTCTCCGAGGCTGAAACTCAAGCACAGCCACCTCAGCAATCTTAGGTGGGGCTCAGTTTTCTCTTAGCTCTGTCCCTCATCAGAGGGATGTCACTGAGTCCATTCCTTCTTTGATGTCCATACTCTCATAATGGTTCAAGTAGAATGCTCTAAAGACACAGCAGGTCACAGTTAATAACAGTGTAAAGCCTGGGACGGCCAAGGTCGTCCTCCAACACCATTCTCTGCAGATGCTGTCCCTTTCATTCTTACTCTGAGCTATCCATCTTCAGTTCCTCCCTGAGTTTTCTAAGAGAAATCCTCTTTCTCTTTAAGGCTCTGTATGCTGTTTCTGATATTCTGTTCCTTTTCCAATGTTCTCCCATTTCAAGGCCCAGCCTTGAGACTTTCTCCTACTTACCAGTCCCTGAAGGGTACAGATGTGTCAGCTCTTTTCATGGACCACCCTCGAGGTGCCACACAGAACTAGGCTATGAGGCAGTTATTTATTTATTTATTTTTCTAGCATGCTTTGGCTTTTCTGCCTTCTGGTCTGACCTAGTTTGAAGGTAGCTTTATGGTGTGAATCAGACAGCAGAAATAGGACATATGCCTCCACCTGATTGGTCCATAGTCAAGCATTTTCTTGATTGATGATGGACATAGGAGGGTCCAGCCCAAAGTGGAAAATACCATCCCTAGACGAGCGGGCCTGGCAAGGTTGCTTAACATAAACTTGAGAATGGGCCACTAAACAGCATTATCTGATTCAACCTCCTGCCTCGAGCTCCTGTCTCCAATGATAGACTGTAACCTGGAAGCTGAAATAAACCCTCCTCCACATGCTGCTTTTGGTTTATTACAGCAACAGGAATACAACTAGAACAGAAACTGGTACTAGAAAACAAGGGTGTGGCTGTGACAGACCTGATTCTGTGTCTTTTTCTTTTTTCAGGTGTGTGTGTGTGTGTGTTTGTGTGTATATATGTGTGTGTGTGTAGCCTTGGCTGTCTTGGACTCACTTTATAAACCAGGCTGACCTAGAACTAAGAGAGATCCACCTGCCTCTGCCTCTCAAGTGCTGGGATCAAAGGCATGCCCCCCACCCCCGCTTCTTTTCCTTTCTTTGTTTCTTTTCTTTTCCTTCTTCTTCTTCTTCTTCTTGTTCTTCTTGTTCTTGTTCTTGATCTTCTTCTTCTTCTTCTTCTTCTTATTCCTCCTCCTCCTCCTCCTCTTTTTCTTCTTCTTCTTCCTCCTCCTCCTCCTCCTCCTCTT